GGATCGGATCACTGTGCTGGCTGTCGGGTCTGTACAAGTCGTCGGAGACCCACAAAGCCGCATGTCTGGACGCTGTGTGGCGGCGCCGTACCAACCGATCGCCCAGCTACAGCGCAACCCGCTGGGCCCAATTCCCTGTGTGGACACGGCGCGCGCGCCGCCTGAGCCTGACCCGCTGGCGTCTCCCTCCTCTCGCAGTTCATCGGCCAGGCGGGAGTGGTGCACCGCATCACGGACCGCGGCGACATTCGCGTGCAGTACAGCAACGGCACGCGCTGGACTATCAACCCGGCGGCGCTGGTGCGCGTCAGCCCGCTGGCCGTGGGCGACACGGTGCGCGTGCTGGAGGACGCGGCGCGCGTCCGACTCTTGCAGAAGGGCCACGGCGAGTGGAGTGACATGATGAAGGCCGTGAGTGTCACGACGCGGACGGCGGGCGCCAGCGTGCAGGCTTGGCGGCTATGCAGCGCGCTGGGCATGGACGCCAACGTACTGTGCATGGGCGCCAGCGTGCCGTGTATGGGCACCAGCGTGCTGTGTATTGGCGCCAACGTTCTGTGCGTTGGCACCAGCGTGCTGCGCGTTGGCGCCAGTGTGATGTGCATTGGCACCATCGTGCTGTGTATTGGCGCCAGCGTGCTGTGTATTGGCGCCAGCGTGCCGTGCATTACTTTTTGGAGCAGGAGGGGCTGGCCGGAGCGCTCCATAAGTCATCTAGCATGTACGTAGAAATTTGTGCTACCATTGTCCTGGCTCGGTGGCGGTCTCTGCACGCCGTTCATAGGCGCTAATCCGTTGCCGTTTAACCCCGAGCCCAGACATCTGACCTGTCTGGCCCATTTATCATGCCTGAGGCGCTTAGATTCTGGGTTGACCTCCCGGCGCGTTGCAGAGTGGCCGATTTTGAGCAAGGGGAGGGGCAGGGGCGTTGAACCCCAAAGTGTCATGGCAGGAAAAAATATCGGCATCCCCGGCTCCCAAGTGGCCAAATACTGAAACGCCCGCGAGCTGCTTCCAGTGGGAGTCATTGCTAGTGCATGTCAGATTTGACGAGTCGTTCGTCCGTTCAAGTGTTTAATGTCTGCGTGTAGGGGGTGCACATTATATACCCGACCTTTCGCACGTGAGCAGTGACGTAATGCAGCGCCGTGTCGTCGAGCGTCGCCGCGCGGTCTGCCGAGCCGCAGACCAGAGCGGCCCCTAACCGTGCGCCACCGCCGCCGCCGCCCGCCGCCGCCAGTGTCTCGGCAAGACGGGCCAGATCACCAAGATCTACGCGGACGGCGACCTGCGCGTCAGCGTGGACGGCCAGACGTGGACCATCAACCCGATGTGCGTGAGCCCGCTGTGTCCGGGCCCGCCGACCGCCGACCCCAACTCGATGCGCAGCCGCGACAGGGACGACCAGCCCGGTGAGCGAAACGCCGGTAGGCGGCCTGTCGTACGAGGCGGCCTGCAGCGGCACGCGCCGGCTCGCTTTGTTAGCTGATTGTCCGCTGTGTGGGTGGCGTGCAGTAAGCACTGCAAGGCGTCCACGTAAGCCGTCGTGAAGAGGCGACTTTTTCTGCCCAGAGATTTGTACCAGCAGTGGCTTCGATGCCAGCACGCGTTAGCAGCATACCATGTCCAAGGTTCCGCTAGTGCCAGGACGCGTTAGCAGCACACGATGTCCAAGGTTCCACTAGTGCCAGCACGGGTGCCAGTCTTCAGTGTTTTTAAAAAGTGATTACCGCGTTTTAAATCGAACTTTCGCTTCACACGTAAGTGACCGAATCAGACATGCCGGAAACGCGTTGTAAAACCGTTCTTCCAAAGTGTTGCTTTGAACCCTTCACATTTTCCCCTGAATATATATTTTTGCTGTTTTTTTCATCCGTTTCGTTCATTGCAATCATCAAACAGCTTTCCCCCAACAAATATACCTTTACTTTTTTCATGTGCGGCCGAAATGCACTGATATGCTGTGGCCAAATTGCTGCCTTCCTAAACCATATAAGAGCTCGTTATACCTTATTTTGTATAAAAATGTGAGATTCAAAACAGTATCCCTGAGCAAAGGTTCTGCCGTGACTCTTGCAACGAGATAGTCAAATTGGCCTTTTCAAACTGATTTGTTAACCGTGCTCGGGGTTATGTTTGCTGCCATATCCGAATCTGGTTTAGCTTTAACTAACCATGTGGGACTTAGTCGAAGTGGACTGCCAATTGTATGCTTGAGGTGCCCAGGTGCACCCTCTGGCGCCTTGTTCAGCGATCGCATCGCCGTGTGTTTAGTGCGGCGTTTTTATGTGGTCGCACCCAGACGTGACGACCGGACTTTAACACAGCCCAGCGGCTCTGTCACCGGCAGTACCCCTGTACCGCCAGGGACCATGCGGTACCTGCTGCCGACTCGACGTGCCGACTTCCGCATACGTGCGCCTCGCGTCTCGTGCCGACGTCCCATGACCGCTGGGCCCCGGTGCCGCAGGCGCCCTGGTATCGTTCATCAGCAGCTTCCTGGAGCAGCACAAGGAGACGTCGCTGGCCGACCGGCTGGTGCGGGACGCCGCCCAGGGCCGCACCGAGGCCGTGCGGCAGTGGCTGGAGAAGCAGCGCGACAAGGTGCGCGCCGCCGCCCGTCAGGCCCGGCGGACGCTGGGCGGGCCGGTTTGGGGGACTGTGCCATCGGTCTGGATGTGCTGTTTGGCACTGCTGGGGGCATGGTGTGTTATATACCGATGCCGATTTAGTCCGAAGGCTTTGTTCCTCTCCGTGTGCGTTCTCGCGGAGCAGTGGCTGTTCTAGGGCTTGCGGTCTGCCGATCGGGCTGTCGTGGGCCGTGCCGCGCCGGCCCGAGCGCCGTCTACAGCGTGTGTCTCGGTGCGCGGCTCAGGTGGACTGCAAGAGCAGCGGCCGCACTGCGCTGCAGCTGGCCTGCCACCAGGGCCACATGGAGACGGTGCGGCTGCTGCTACACCGCCAGGCCAGCGTGGCCGCCACCGACGACGACGGCGACACACCGCTGCACTACTCCGCCTTCGGGTACTGGCCGGCCCGGGCGCCGACGCGCGCCGCACGCGCGGCCCCGCAGTTTCGGGGTTGAGGCCCTGGCGTGCCGAATATTGCGCCCCCCCCCCCCCCTCCCATGGACATGCCTCGGAGTAGTGGATTTGGCTGTCGATATTTGGGTTTCATTCGTAGCGTCACACAGACGCTCGCCGAACACCTCACCCCGCTGTCATGCTTTCGACCGTCGGTTGCTAGACGGCTGCCGTAGATGAGAGCCATCTATAGAATGAAAACATTTTTGCTGAGGCGCTGTTCAGTGCTCTTCTGTCGGAGTATGTCTGAGCCGGCAGTCGGTGCCGCCGGAGTGTGTCTGAGCCGGCAGTCGGTGCCGCCGGAGTGTGTCTGAGCCGGCTGTCGGTGCCGCCGGAGTGTGTTTGAGCCGGCAGTCGGTGCCGCCGGAGTGTGTCTGAGCCGGCAGTCGGTGCCGCCGGAGTGTGTCTGAGCCGGCAGTCGGTGCCGCCGGAGTGTGTCTGAGCCGGCAGTCGGTGCCGCCGGAGTGTGTCTGAGCCGGCTGTCGGTGCCGCCGGAGTGTGTTTGAGCCGGCAGTCGGTGCCGCCGGAGTGTGTCTGAGCCGGCAGTCGGTGCCGCGGAGTGTGTCTGAGCCGGCTGTCGGTGCCGCCGCCGGAGTGTGTTTGAGCCGGCAGTCGGTGGCCGCCGGAGTGTGTCTGAGCCGGCAGTCGGTGGCCGGCCGGAGTGTGTCTGAGCCGGTGCAGTCGGTGCCGCCGGAGTGTGTCTGAGCCGGCAGTCGGTGCCGGCCGGAGTGTGTCTGAGCCGGCTGTCGGTGCCCGCCGGAGTGTGTTTGAGCCGGCAGTCGGTGCCGCCGGAGTGTGTCTGAGCCGGCATTCGTGGCCGCCGAGTGTGTCTGAGCCGGCTGTCGGTGCCGCTGGAGTGTGTCTGAGCCGGCAGTCGGTGCCGCCGGAGTGTGTCGAGCCGGCAGTCGGTGCCGCCGGAGTGTGTCTGAAGCCGGCAGTCGGTGCCGCCGGAGTGTCTGAGCCGGCAGTCGGTTGCCGCCGGAGTGTGTCTTGAAGCCGGCTGTCGGTGCCGCCGGAGTGGCTGAGCCGGCAGTCGGTGCCGCTGGAGGGTGTCTGATTAGCCGGCAGTCGGTGCCGCCGTAGTGTGTCTGAGCCGGCAGTCGGTGCCGCCGGAGTGTGTCTGAGCCGGCAGTCGGTGCCGCCGGAGTGTCTGAGCCGGCAGTCGGTGCCGCTGGAGTGTGTCTGAGCCGGCAGTCGGTGCCGCCGGAGTGTGTCTGAGCCGGCAGTCGGTGCCGCCGGAGTGTGTCTGAGCCGGCAGTCGGTGCCGCCGGAGTGTCTGAGCCGGCAGTCGGTGCCGCTGGAGTGTGTCTGAGCCGGCAGTCGGTGCCGCCGGAGTGTGTCTGAGCCGGCAGTCGGTGCCGCCGGAGTGTGTCGGTGCCGCCGGAGTGTGTCTGAGCCGGCAGTCGGTGCCGCCGGAGTGTGTCTGAGCCGGCAGTCGGTGCCGCCGGAGTGTGTCTGAGCCGGCAGTCGGTGCCGCTGGAGTGTGTCTGAGCCGGCAGTCGGTGCCGCCGGAGTGTGTCTGAGCCGGCAGTCGGTGCCGCGCCGGAGTGTGTCTGAGCCGGCAGTCGGTGCCGCCGGAGTGTGTCTGAGCCGGCAGTCGGTGCCGCCGGAGTGTGTCTGAGCCGGCTGTCGGTGCCCGCCGGAGTGTCGTCTGAGCCGGCAGTCGGTGCCGCCGGAGTGTGTCTGAGCCGGCAGTCGGTGCCGGCCGGAGGTGTGTCTGAGCCGGCAGTCGGTGCGCCGGAGTGTGTCTGAGCCGGCAGTCGGTGCCGCCGGAGTGTGTCTGAGCCGGCAGTCGGTGCCGCTGGAGTGTGTCTGAGCCGGCAGTCGGTGCCGCCGGAGTGTGTCTGAGCCGGCAGTCGGTGCCGCCGGAGTGTGTCGGTGCCGCCGGAGTGTGTCTGAGCCGGCAGTCGGTGCCGCCGGAGTGTGTCTGAGCCGGCAGTCGGTGCCGCCGGAGTGTGTCTGAGCCGGCAGTCGGTGCCGCTGGAGTGTGTCTGAGCCGGCTGTCGGTGCCGCCGGAGTGTGTCTGAGCCGGCTGTCGGTGCCGCCGGAGTGTGTCTGAGCCGGCTGTCGGTGCCGCCGGAGTGTGTCTGAGCCGGCTGTCGGTGCCGCCGGAGTGTGTCTGAGCCGGCTGTCGGTGCCCGCCGAAGTGTGTCTGAGCCGGCTGTCGGTGCCGCCGGAGTGTGTCTGAGCCGGCTGTCGGTGCCGCCGGAGTGTGTCTGAGCCGGCTGTCGGTGCCGCCGGAGTGTGTCTGAGCCGGCTGTCGGTGCCGCCGGAGTGTGTCTGAGCCGGCAGTCGGTGCCGCTGGAGTGTGTCTGAGCCGGCAGTCGGTGCCGCTGGAGTGTGTCTGAGCCGGCTGTCGGTGCCGCCGGAGTGTGTCTGAGCCGGCAGTCGGTGCCGCTGGAGTGTGTCTGAGCCGGCTGTCGGTGCCGCCGGAGTGTGTCTGAGCCGGCTGTCGGTGCCGCCGGAGTGTGTCTGAGCCGGCAGTCGGTGCCGCTGGAGTGTGTCTGAGCCGGCAGTCGCTGCCGCTGAAGTGACCGCCGGAGCGTGTCTGTACCGACTGTCGGTGTCGCCGGGGTGTGTCCTGAGCCGACCGTCGGTGCCGTCGTAGTGTCTGAGCTGTCGGTGCCGGCGGGGTGTGTCTGAGCTGACTTTCGGTGCCGCCGGGTGTGTCTGAGCTGACTGTCGGTGCCGGCGGGGGTGTGTCTGAGCCGACCGTCGGTGCCGGCGGGGTGTGTCTGAGCTGACTGTCGGTGCCGGCGGGGTGTGTCTGAGCTGACTGTCGGTGCCGCCGGGGTGTGTCTGAGCTGACTGTCGGTGTCGCCGGGGTGTGTCTGAGCCGACCGTCGGTGCCGCCGTAGTGTCTGAGCTGACTGTCGGCGCCGGCAGGGTGTGTCTGAGCTGACTGTCGGTGCCGCCGGGATGTGTCTGAGCTGACTGTCTGTGCCCGGCCGCCAGGAACCAGCCGGAGATCATGGAGCTGCTCATCCGAAAGAGCTGCGATGTCAACGCCACCAACCGGGGCCAGTGTTCGGCTCTGCACGTGTCGGTCAACAAACAGCATGTGGGCTGCGTGCGCGTGCTGGTTAAGGCAGGATGCGACCCCAACCTACAGGTGGGTTTAGCCAATTCTCATGCTGGAATGGGGAAATCCTGCAGGCAGGGGAAGGTGACAACTGTTCCCATGCAACGCAAGACAGGTCCAGACTCCCCCCCCCCCCCCCCGCCCCATGTAGCCAGGAGGGGACAAACTGTTTGCTCTAGCTGTTTGCCTACCTGGATCGATCCGGTCATCACTCGGCTGGTATAGCAGTTGTCCAGTTGGTGCGGTCTCCTGCCGGGCTTGGTATTGTTGCTGGATTCCCGGGCTGTGCCTGGAGGGAAAGGGGGCAGGGTTAGCTTGTCTGCCTGTCAGCTGAAGGGAAGTTCAGTTTTCCCTTGTGTTGTTGGATTGGGAGGGCGTTAGCCTCACATCCATGAGGTGTGCTATTTGAGCCTGGGTTCTGGCCAAGAGTTGAATGCTCCCCCCCCCCCGCGCAGAAATCGGCTGGAGAGTTTTGGCGCTAATGATTTGTCGTTAATGACTTGACTTGTTAATGAATGCCGCCCATCGTTCAATTCAAATAACGGCAGCGACCACCTTTGCGAGCCGTCTTTGTAAGCTGGACGGGTTATAGCAGTCTGCTGCTGACCGACCTTGAATAGCAATTGCCAGTGTGCGCTAATGAAGCTTTGTAACATGTAAACAGCAGTGTTGGGTCCTAGAGTAGCGTTGTTTGGTGGCTGTTGAAGACGGCCTTTAATTTACTTCCTGTCTGATAGCCTGATTCTTCGTAAACTACTGTAGACACTGTTGACACACTTCCCGCGAGTCTGTTCATTACGGTGCCATCGTTACCACTCGTTTTGGGACTTCACCGTGTTACGGCACATAGCGGCTTGATTGCTGCGATGGGATGGCCGTTCACGGGCTCGACTACTGCCGTCCGGCCGTTCACGTCAGATGGCCGGCCTTGCAGGACATGTACGGCGACACTGCCCTCCACGACGCCATCGGAAAAGACAACCTGGAGATCATCGAGCTGCTCGGTAACGTGCCGGCGCTGGACTTCAAGATCAAGAACAAGCGAGGCTTCAATGTGCTGCATCACGCCGCCCTGAAGGGCAATAACTTGTGAGTGCGGGGGACCTAGTGGGCGGACGCCGCTGACGTGCTCGTTGAAATGTGTGGCTGATGATCCAGACCCTGCTCACTGTGATGAACGCCGTCGATAAGCACGCAAGCTCAGACGCCCTGCCCTGCCCGGTATCTGAGCTGGCCCCCATTGGCCCATGGGCGCGATGGAGGAGCCAATGTGCTGGCGCTCGTGGCATGCCGCGTCGTGTTCGAGGTGCCGCGGCCAGCTGACGCGCCCCCGTCGCGTGCGGCAGCGCCGTGGAGAAGCTGCTGGCGCGCTCCCGCAACGCGGCCGACATGCGGAAGGAGGACGGCTTCACGGCCCTGCACTTGGCCTGCCTGAACGGCCACGCGGCCGTGGTCGAGACGCTGGTCACGCAGAGCGGGTGCTGCCTGGACGCCGTCAACAACCGACGCCAGACGCCGCTGCTGCTGGCCGTCTCCCAGGTCAGCCGCCGAGCCGTCCGCGAGGCGCCCAGCGGGCGTGGCCAGCGCCGGCGGCGCAGCGGCGTGAGCGCGGTGAAGCGAACAGGCGTGCGGATTTATAGCTAGCGGAATTGATCACTTCCGGAGAGGTCTGCCTGTCAACTATGTACAGTTTTTCGCTAGCTTCTGACGTGAGTGCCATATCACCTCTGGCGTCGGCGTCATTGTCCGGTCTGGCGTGCTCTGCTTTGCTTCCCTGTCCGCCACATTCACGTGTCGCGCGCGCGCGCGCTCCGTCGCCAGCTGCACCTGGGCATCGTGGAGTACCTGATAAGCCGTGGAGCGTCCGTGCTGCTGGCCGACGAGGACGGGGACACGCCGCTGCACCTGGCCGGCCTCAAGCTGGCCGCGGCCGTCGAGGTTCGGCCCGGCGAGGCGCCGCTCATTCACGGCATCAAGGCGCACCTCGCCACGCAGGGTCAGTCGGTTGGCCGGGGCGGGGCGAGGCTCGTCAGTCGGGCCCGTCACTCGGGCTCGGCGGCGGTGGTCGGGGTGGTGGTGTCAGTCGCCGGAGACGAGGCCAGAGTCAGCTCGGGTCCGTGTGGTGGGTCCGCGCCGAGGCGCTCGGTTGGTCGTCGCGGCTGTTGGTGCTACGGTTGATGACGAGCTGTGCTCTGTGCGCGCACGGGCTCGACGATGTCGAGTGAAGGGCAGGCCGTGACGTGCACGCGCCGCCCTGTTATGCGCATAGGAGTGAGGTTGCGCTGCCTTGTACGCGGGTTCTGGCCTTGATGCACATTTGTCCACTCTGACCTGTGTTGTGGCCGTGACTTTTGGCCGACACTGATGGGTGTCAATCAATTGTGCGGGATGGTGCCACTGGCATCTGGGTGACCATGCTTGTGTCTGTTAGGCCTTCTCTGGTTTTTGAATGGAAGAGTGTCTGACTTCGACCCGTTTCCTCTGGCCTTGGACTCCTTGCATAGCATGGATTTCTTTCCCCGGGAACTAAGTAATGTGTGGCTGTGCACGTGAGTGAGCGCGGCTGCATGCCTGTCTGTCCGGTGACACCGTGCTGGCGGTGGCCGCAGGTTCTGAGGTCAGCCTCGTCCAGGCGATGGCCTGCTACCTGGCGCTGGAAGGCGCGCCGCTCGAGTGCACCAACAAGAAGGGTAGGACGCCGCTGGAGACGATCCTCCGTGGCGGCGACAGGAAGTTCGCCGAAATCGTGCAGTGGTACTCAGCGCAGCGCAGGTGAGAGCTGCCGTCCTGTCGCGCTGCTGATGGCAGCGGGGGTAGGTATGTCACAGCATCCTGCAGTGACACATAGGGGAGGTGGGTATGCTGCTGCGCAATGGTACTTGGAGCAGCGCATGTGCGTATGCTGGCACCGCCCTGCAGCGGCTCTCCAGCAGCGCAGACCGGTCCCATGGCGAGCTGCAGGCCTACCCGAGCAGCGTGTGTGGGCAGGCAGTGCCCTGATCAAAGCGCGACGAGCGCTTGAGCGCGACAACGTCATCCACAACACTGCCGGGACGGACATGTTGACAGAAATAACAACACATGGTCAGTTTGAAGCAGCTGCGGAAAAGCCGACGGCGGCAGCAGCGCTTACGTCGAAACACGGTAAATTTTACGCCGCAGATAGCAATGGAATTTAGTACAACCAGCCGCGAATCCCCCGAAATGAATACCGTTGTGAATGTGGCCAAAAGGCACAGGCGCGGGTGGTGAGAAGTGGTAGTGAAGGACAGCCGGAGTCATACATCAGCGCCGCTCCAGTGTAATCCCGATAAATGTCGCAGTGTGAGCACAAGTCACCCCCCCCCCCCCCCCCGCCTTCCCCCCAGTATCCACAGCGTGGGCCAGAGTCCGCCAAACAGCCACAGTGCTGGCCCATCCGTGCCGACAGCACGGTCCGCAGTCTACCGTCTGCCCCACGTCTGCAGCGTGGGCCGGTTTCGTTGGCGTTCACAGTGGGGGCCAGTGTGCGCCCGTGCCCGCAGAGGTTCAGCTCGACCCGTGCCCACAGCGTGAGCCTCAGCCTGACCCGTGCCCAGTGTGAGCCTCAGCCTGACCCGTGCCCACAGTGTGAGCCTCAGCCTGACCCGTGCCCACAGTGTGAGCCTCAGTCTGACCCGTGCCCACAGTGTGAGCCTCAGCCTGACCCGTGCCCACAGTGTGAGCCTCAGTCTGACCCGTGCCCGCAGTGTGAGCCTCAGCCTGACCCGTGCCCACAGCGTGAGCCTCAGCCTGACCCGTGCCCGCAGTGTGAGCCTCAGCCTGACTCGTGCCCACAGTGTGAGCCTCAGCCTGACCCGTGCCCACAGCGTGAGCCTCAGCCTGACCCGTGCCCGCAGTGTGAGCCTCAGCCTGACCCGTGCCCACAGCGTGAGCCTCAGCCTGACCCGTGCCCGCAGTGTGAGCCTCAGCCTGACCCGTGCCCTCAGTGTGAGCCTCAGCCTGACCCGTCCCCGCAGTGTGAGCCTCAGCCTGACCCGTGCCCACAGTGTGAGCCTCAGCCTGACCCGTCCCCGCAGTGTAAGCCTCAGCCTGACCCGTGCCCACAGCGTGAGCCTCAGCCTGACCCGTGCCCGCAGTGTGAGCCTCAGTCTGACCCGTGCCCGCAGTGTGAGCCTCAAACTGGAGCTACCGTCGCTGTCTGACCTGACCCGGGAGCCGGCTGCCGCGGCAGCCACCGCCACCGCCACCAGCCCGTCGCAGTCGCCGGAAGAGCAGGGCGCCGCCGCGGTCGCCTCGCTCGCCGAAAAGACAGCCAAACTCAAGCTGGATAGTGATGAGGTGGGACCGATCGTGCCAGCTGGGCTTGCTTTTGTGGACCCGGCAGGCGACGGCGAGTATCGCTCTTGTAACTCAAGTGTGCTCCGGTTCCCAGTGCCGTCGTTGAAAGGTCATACGGTGGGAAGTTATACTACTTATTTCTTAATTTGTAAGCTGTTGAGCGTTACTACATCTCTATCTGTGACCATGATATATATATATATATATATATATATATATATATATATATGACTTACGTGCGTCCGCTTTTCATCCCAGCCCGAGGGATGGAAGCATTTCAGAGGTCAAGCATGGTTGCATGCGCGGCGTACTTTCGGACGCTATCCACTCTCGTGTTCGATTTACTGGCGTTCCAGAGGGCGCATCGTCGGCATTGTGTTGGACGGGTCCGGTGGCCGGCGCCGGTAACCGTGACGTCGCCTCCGCCAGGAGTCGTGCATGGTGTGCTGCGAGCTGCCTGCCTGCGTCGAGTTCGAGCCGTGCGGACACCGCGTTACCTGCAACATCTGCTGCGCCCGCATGAAGAAGTGCGTCCGCTGCCAGACGGCCATCACCGCCAAAAAGACGGCAGGTGAGGGGGACGCGCCGGACCGCCGTCGGGCGCTGGATGGCCGCGGTCACTGCTGTCCTGGCGATGGTGGCATCGCGGGGATCGTGGTTATCAGTTTAGTTGATCCCTACACCGGTGCGTGGAAGACTATTTTCGACGTTTCGCGTCGGTCGAAACGTTATGAGCCTGGGGTGCTGTTCTAAATGCTGGCTGTTTGTAGAAGGGAAGAAGACATGTTCTCGAACCGAGAAGTCCGGATGTGGTTATCCGACCTTTCTCGAGTGTGGTACGGATGCGCATGTCTGCTTCGCGTGTTTCAGTGCTATCGCGGACCGTATGCGGATAGCTTACCACTAACACGGCGTGTGAAGTTCTTGGCAAACACGTCATTCGAGTTTACGTAGCACTTGTACTGCAGTGTTGGCACCTTCGCTCTTTTCTTCTCTGTTTACCGCATCGCTGCGTCTGAAACCGCCTCACAGCGAGTAAGACGTGCCCTTTCTTTTTGCGCTTTTGGAAAAATGCTGGTATCGCTACAGCTGGTCCGGGAGAGAACGTGTTCATTTCAGCCAAACCTGATGGGAATGGGGCTGCAGCAGTCGCTGCGTCTGCTGTGTGTTGTGTGCTTATTTCGTGGTTCGCTGTGTATCTTGGGGTCCTTGTTTCCGTTTTGTCAATTTCATCCATTCGATGCGTTGAACACTTTTCTAGGTCTCGGTGATCGCGATATTGACGACAAAATCGGGGCGGCCAGTGTGGATGTGTGGCGGGACTAGGTTCTGCATCCAGCGGGATAGGTGAAAGTCGCGCTGAGAGTTGCGCTGCGTCCGCCCCGTCGCCAGGCTGTCACGCAGACGTTCCGTTTACAGACGGGAACGTGCTGGCATCGCGCGGTCGGGCGCCGAGCTCCGAACGCCTGCGTTACCTGGAGACGAAGATCGCCGAAATTGAGGAGGTCCACGGCTGTTCGATCTGCATGGAGAGGCGTCGCAACGTCGTGTTCCTGTGCGGTCACGGCGCGTGCGCGGTCTGTGCGCACGCGCTGCAGAATTGCCACATGTGCCGCAAAGCCATCACGCAGAAGATCAACATCTACTGAGCGGCCAGCGCCGCGCCACCGGGTGCTCCGGTCGTCGCGCTGGGGCTGGCCGCGCACGCGACTGCCGCATGCTCGCGCGGCGTTGAGTCACGGGGATCTTGTGACTGATGGGAGGAGGGAGGGCTGGGGGGAGGGGGGGGAGGGGAGCTTTGGACGACAGCAGTTCCGCTCTGGCCGGACAGCCGTGACGCGGCTCCGTCCCAGCCGACGGCAAGGCGTGCTGCGCGTCACAGAGGCTGGCGGCCGTCGTCCGCGCCCAGCTGGCCGGCGCCTCGGTGGTAGTCGGACGTGCTGGGAGACGTCCGCGCCTGTTGCTTCGTGTCGGATGCACGCGGGGCGCACGGCACACCGCCGTGCTGTCCGAACACGTCGCACTATCCTCGACGCGTGGTGCTCTGACTGTGCTGGTCGCGTTAAAGCCAGACATTAGGTGAGCGCGTACTCCGAAGTCGGAGGCCATTTTTCCGCCGAGCGGCTCCTGTTCATTGGCGGCGCCTGGCGCCGCGTCACCGACTCTCTTGATAGAAATAGTAACGCTATGTAGTGTGGGATTGAATCCGTTCATGGTGCACTTGGCACGTAGTGGGCGCTCTGCGGACTTGGCCGTGGGTTGATGCGTAGGAAGCTCGGATCTTTGAAGCTTTCATCGTTGCAGACGTGACCAGGATTTGTTCACATAGACGGGCAAGACACCATATGTGACATTTATTTGCAAAGCTACTTTGTGGTGTGTGGAGTGTCCACCGTTTACAAGATGGATTGAGAAAGTACTTTATCCGAATGCACTCTTTTGTACCATTTTGCGGGCATGATTGTCTTCATATCGATGGGATATATTTAATTACTCGGGCTATTGTGTGTGAACTGTGAGCATGCACTTCAGCTTCACAAATACATGTACACATTTTCCTCTCTTTGTGCGCACCACTAAACTGAATAAGCGCATGTTTTCCCTATCTAAAATGGAATTTAACCAAAGATGCGTTTGCGCGCATGCATTGTAATGCTATTTCATAATTGGCAGGCGCCCGGCCAAGCAGACACCGCACAATACAGATAACTTGATTCTAGTTGGGCGATAGAGTTAAGGACGCAAACGTCTACCAAGGTTCCCAAAACCAACTGCATCCAAGCTATGAGCGATTTTGTGGCCTATCAGTAGCCTTCCATTTGACGTAATGCTGCTATTTGCAGGTATTGTGCTGGTATTTGCAGGTAATGCGGGTATTTGCAGACATAAGTACCTCCAGAACCTAGATACCTGTCCTAGCAAAAGGTCACTGATGCTCATTTGATGTCAGTGACCTTGTTTGACCTTAAGGGGGTAATGGCGACCAAAATCACGCAAGACTGCGTTGGTTTGTATTTAAATGAGCGCCAAATATTACGCTAGGCAATAAGTTACTAAGAGCAAATTGTTGACCAGGGTCATTTCAGGTCAGTGACCTTTTCTGACCTTAACGAAGTTCGTAGAAAACTGTCATGCGGTTCCTGTGGCCAATAAATTCAAAATGAGCACCAGAAACCAGAAAACGGCGATCAGAATAATAAAACAGGTTGGTTTTGACCTTGGTGTGACCTTCATATCTGACCCTAGGTCAACGAAATCCGTTCATTCAATTGTGTCGACTTAGGAACTATCTCAGGGATTCTCGGCATCGTCCAGCACTCCGTTGTCGCATCAGATTGAACGATTCCCACGAAATTACCTTCGCTGAATCCATGGCCCGAATAAAAGCAAATGCTCAACCGCAGGATGGGTTTCTCGCTAAAAACCAGGGCCTTCCATTTTATAACAGGGAATTTTTAGTTAACACCGTGGGGCGTCGTAGATCCCAACGGAGCTGTCTGGTCCATAACGGGGGCCTCGTAGATCCTAACAGGGTTTTCTAGTCCATAACGGGGCCTCCTAGTCCATAACGGGGACGTCCTAGTTCATGGTAGTGGCCACCCGAAGCAGCCAAGAGGCTCCTCAATACAAAATTGGGCCTACTGTTCTAAGAGCATGAACAGCTTTATTCATAAAGGCACCCTCATGATTCGGAAAACGGGGATCTTGATGCAGAGTTACGAAGGGGCTTCCAAATCTAGCCAAGGGGCCTCGTTATTCCAAAACAGGGCATCCTCATTCGGAGCTGCGGCCATCTGATGCTTGAAAGGGCTTTGCTGTTCCAAAACCGGGATATCTATATGTCTCTGGATGGTGTCTTCTAATCAAGAACAGGTGCCCCTAGTTCGTAACAGGGTCTCACGAGCCAAAAAAAACGCCTCCTTAACATATCGTTGGGTTTATTGATCTAGACGATGGACTACCGTATTCATAAAGATATGTCCTCATGATCCAGAAAACGGGCTTCTGGATGTAGAAAACGGTGTTTTAAGCCCGAATGATTGCTCTCTCGCTTAGCTTGGGGACCTCCTTGATTTGAATTTTGGTAACCTACGGATAGGTAGAATTCCTTTGACTAGGCGAAAGGGGCTTCCGAAAACTTTTGAGAGAGCAAGAACATACTATTCCCCTGCCTGCCGGCGGGGGCTGCCCTCTCTGGACCGCCCAGAACCTGGCCGAACCGCTGCCAGGCCGTACCGTCACGGCAAGGCCTCGAACATTGACCAACGTGTGGTAAACACGCGGACTCGTCTGCCAGAAGCAGCGCTTAACACCCTCCACACTCCGTTCGTGACGAAGACGTGAACGACCCCTTATCGAATGTCCTCCGATTGGAATCCATTTACGCGTTCTCCGCTTTTCCGTGACCTTACCGTGACTTTGCGGCGGGCATACTAGGCCACATATATGTACATTATAAAGAGTGTCCAAAGCCTGTGTATTGCGTGCAATGCGCGCGAGTAGAAATATAGGTAACCGTTCGGACCCGTAGCGCGCCGGCCCTTTCAGCGCGCGACCACGTGATCGTGCCCCTGGGACGGCGGCTGTGCCATAATGTTGTCTACCCCTAGGGCGGCGCCCCGCACGAGTTGTACGGCTGCCGTTGTCAGCAGTTACCAGCGTGCGTCCAAAGTGCGGGGTGCGACCAGTCAGCAGCAGCAGACACAACACTCGTCCAGCGTGTGGGGTGCGACCAGTCAGCAGCAGCAGACACAACACTCGCCTGTACATTCTAGTAACTGTGCCGCAATGATTTTTTTCCATGAGAACACTGGGATTGAATCGCCGCCCGGTACCCATTCAGCAAAAAGGGAGGCTCATAAAGACCAGAGGTTGCCTTCATCCGCGGGCTCACAAAAAGAAAGTGATCGTTGGTGCATTGCACGGGCTTAAAGCAAGCATAAAAATCATCAAACAGCGACATCCTATTTCCACACGAAATCTCGTAACTGTTGCCAATCACCCTTAAATTGTGCAGTGAGATACCATTAGAAATCGTAAATTGCAACTGAGTTGTTCCCAGACATTCTAAAACATCCAGCATAGAACTGAAGCGCCATGGGAACCAACCAAGACCGTAAGAAGTCTAAGGATGGCAGATGCGGTAAAACATATATTTACAGTATAGACGCAAGAGAAGGTGGATTTCGTCAAGATTTTGGGAACTCGTTATTTTCGAAGTTTGGCGCAGCAAACACAAGCGTTTACTTAGACCATCGCTACACACGGCAATGGGAGCACTTCATGGGTCGACAGAAGTTTACAGAGTAAGTTTTAAACAGCTTGGTATTCTTGCCTTTCAACCACCGTTATACGGCAAGAATCTCGCAACGTTTACAAGCCTGAATAGTGGCTAACCCGGGTCTGTCTGGGTTTTGTTCACTGCTGTACCACAAATATGAATGATACTCGGGTGCTCAACCGGGATCTTTTATGAGGTGCCCTATTGATGTGTTTTTATTCCAGCCGAAAACTGTAAAAGCCTATGTAAGGCCCCAGATATAAGGGGGCAAAGAGGGTTCCCGGGACCCTGGCACCCCTGCCCTTGGCTGCGCCTCTGGTGATGTTTTGTTCTTAACTTGAGGTTTACCAAATTCGTCATGCATTCAACAAACTCACCCACACCAAGGAACTCGCCTTGCTTTGATTTAGTTTAGAATAGAGTTCTTCTGGCCATTAAGGATCACTTCAGGGCTATGAGATAGAGAAGAGTGGACAATGGAGGAGGAGGGGGGGGGGGGGGGGACTTCACGCACCTGGGGTCCTCCGCCCAGAATTAGCCCGCGAGGGGACCCCTATACGGGGGAACCCCTATACGCGGGGACCCATGTACGGGGTATGTACTTAGTATTCGGACGGCACACCTCACCAGCGACACTTAAGCCCTCTCATGACTGGCGCATGAAGCCTGTCTTGGATAAACAGGGCGTCGCCCAAATGCATCATGGAGCGAGAATGAGGATAAAGAAGGCAGATGCATATTGATGTTTGACTGTTGGCGTGGGTTCCTTGGCCAGTTATTTATCAGGCCATCATTATCAGTCACCGAAGTTCTGGTCCGATTGTAATGGATTCAAAGTTCAAAAGTTGCCAGTCGCTTCAAAATTTGTTTTAAAAAATCAAACGAAACCGGAGAGCACATCAATGATTTTACCCAAAATTATGAAGCAGTCTCCCGGGTTCGCCCGCATGAAGGATCTCCCGCGGCACAGTTCGGCGTTGCGATAAGGCTCCACTTTGGCCGTACGTCCACGGAGCGAGCCGTCCAACCCGCCTCAAATGATGTGAGCACTCCCTCACATGAGCGGCATCAGAACGGTGTCGTTCAGGCAGGAGAGTGCTCACATCACGTCCGTTAATTGGGGGTGTGGAGCCTGGCTCTCGTCAATAGAGCCGCGCTGGGGGTGTGGAGCCTGGCTCTCGTCAATAGAGCCGCGCTGGAGGTGTGGAGCCTGGCTCTCGTCAATAGAGCCGCGCTGGAGGTGTGGAGCCTGGCTCTCGTCAATAGAGCCGCGCTGGAGGTGTGGAGCCTGGCTCTCGTCAATAGAGCCGCGCTGGGGTGTGGAGCCTGGCTCTCGTCAATAGAGCCGCGCTGGAGGTGTGGAGCCTGGCTCTCGTCAATAGAGCCGCGCTGGGGGTGTGGAGCCTGGCTCTCGTCAATAGAGCCACGCTGGAGGTGTGGAGCCTGGCTCTCGTCAATAGAGCCACGCTGGGGGTGTGGAGCCTGGCTCTCGTCAATAGAGCCACGCTGGGGGTGTGGAGCCTGGCTCTCACCAATAGAGCCACGCTGGGGGTGTGGAGCCTGGCTCTCGCCAGTAGAGCCACGCTGGGGGTGTGTAGCCTGGCTCTCACCGATTGAGCCACGCTGGAGGTGTGGAGCCTGGCTCTCGCCAATAGAGCCACGCTGGGGGTGTGGAGCCTGGCTCTCACCAATAGAGCCACGCTGGAGGTGTGGAGCCTGGCTCTCACCAATAGAGCCACGCTGGAGGTGTGGAGCCTGGCTCTCGCCGATTGAGCCACGCTGAAGGTGTGGAGCCTGGCTCTCACTGATTGAGCCACGCTGGAGGTGTGGAGCCTGGCTCTCGCCGATTGAGCCACGCTGGAGGTGTGGAGCCTGGCTCTCACCGATTGAGCCACGCTGGAGGTGTGGAGTCTGGCTCTCACCGATTGAGCCACGCTGGGGTGTGGAGCCTGGCTCTCACCGATTGAGCCACGCTGGGGTGTGGAGCCTGGCTCTCACCGATTGAGCCACGCTGGGGGTGTGGAGCCTGGCTCTTACTGATTGAGCCACGCTGGAGGTGTGGAGCCTGGCTCTCACCGATTGAGCCACGCTGGGGTGTGGAGCCTGGCTCTCACCGATTGAGCCACGCTGGGGTGTGGAGCCTGGCTCTCACCGATTGAGCCACGCTGGGGGTGTGGAGCCTGGCTCTCACCGATTGAGCCACGCTGGGGTGTGGAGCCTGGCTCTCACCGATTGAGCCACGCTGGGGGTGTGGAGCCTGGCTCTCACCGATTGAGCCACGCTGGGGGTGTGGAGCCTGGCTCTCACCGATTGAGCCAGGCTCCCGCGTCCTCGCGTGGGAATCGGCGTGAAAGATTTCGATGCTAAATTTAACTGACCTGAGCTGTTGTGCGGTTAAAACAAGCCAGCTCAGGTCACGCCATGCAGGCTTTCGCGGTTAGGGGCATGGCCAAGGGGAGGCTAAGGGACCGTGCTCCCACCTCTGCCCTAAAATGGAAGGCTTACACAAGATCCTGGGCAGATTTCGCAGACATTGTATCCGGATTTGCAGAATTTGAGACAATTTCATATTTGCCTAGATTTCCTAAATTTAGTCCACTCGTTGCCCATGGTCTGTGCACACACCAACCAACTACGCATTTTTGAAAACCTATTTCCAAATTATGGGAGAGTCTCAGGACAGTTTATACGCCCGAACATACCCCGCGTTCATAGTTGCAAAAACAGTGTGAGCTAAGCTGCTGATGACTAAATAAAGCATAAACGGCAGCATTTTAAGTATGCCTGGAAGTATCAACCCGACGTTTCATAAACGTCTCACACACACCCGTACCGTGCCCATAACTTTCTCAAAATCTGTACCGTCTGTACCCAGCCCGCTGACCATTCCACATGGGCACCAATGAATTTACCCAACCGGCTAAGTCCTTTTCTGCACCAGTCCCGGCAGGGAGTCCTGCATTTAGGTCGAAAGAGTGCATTGCGGTCCAAAGACAGGTTGCTTAGCTGTTGCTTCATTTCGACCTTAGTTTATTATTCAGGGCAATTTCTCTTACTGGGAACTTTTGTATTGTCTGTGATCTAGCCAACGTTTCGAACCTTGCACGCAGAAACGACAGCACATGTGTCTTAAGTTGAGGGAGGTCAAGACGTTGGTCACGTGTCACGTTTGTTTAGTTAGTGATGCCACCGGAGCCGCCTGCCACTGGCGCGTGGCTTCACAATGACGGCACCGTGCCTCCTCCACAACCAGTCTGAGAGGCAACAAGACCAATCGCCGCCACGGTTAGATGCGTTCACGCGTCTAGCGCCTATCATACACGCGTGCGCACGTGCACCTTCCGCGGACACACGGCGGAGGGTGCACTGCGGACAGACGCACGTGCAGCTCACAGCAGCAGCGCCCGATGCTCCAGTAACGCCTGCCGGACTCGGTTACAGCATTCACAACGTGTCGACGCTGCAGTTCGGGTCGGCGGCTGACCTGAGATCGGGAGAGCCGCGCGAGTGGGCCTACACAGAGCGGGCCAACGGCGACTACCGCTACTATGAGAAGCGCCACTTCTGCGGCGTCACGGACAGCTACCTGGACAGCTTCATGAACGTGGACAAGACCGTGTACGGCCGCATGTGCCCACCGATCGCGCCCTGTCAGCCCTGGTGGATGCCGTACTCGCAGATCAATATCCGGTAGTGGTTTTTTTCACCACGCAAGGGGTGTGATGAATGAGGCGCATTGCGATACAGTGGCGTGCGATTCGTGCAGTCAGGGTGGCCGTAGTCCATAGTGCACCTGTGATGTGTCGGCCCTCCTGTGACAGCTGCGAGTGGCGGAAGATAGCGTCTCGACCCATGTTCCACTTTCAAAAGCACGCGGTAGACCGTCACGTGAGTATAGAAGCCAACCATCTACTTAGTTGCGTGTTTAAAGACTGAAGAAGTTTGATGCAGGCGATGATTTGTCTCCGTTGCCGTTCCTCCGCGTTACGACACTTTGACCATAGCGGTGTTTTCTTAGTGTACTTTGACGCTGTAAACATCTGTATCGTGCTTTGATTATTATGTAGCGTGCAAATATCACTAAAGCGTCGTGACGGACGTTTGGTTTCAACTTGTCCCGACACGTCATTTTTGTCCACGTAAACCATGGTTCCACCAGGTTCGGATAATGCTATCGCGCTCATAAGTGAGCTGGTCTTCCCGAGAGTGTGCGTGAAGGAAGAGGAGGGAGGGTCCTACGCAAATTTTGCACCAATCGAGGCTCTGAAGCGCCGTGATGGAGTAAAGCGGAGTGAACAACTAGATGCAGTAGAACAGCGCCAATCATTACCCAGAAACGGAGAGAGGTATGATCCTCGGCTTATGGACACTTGACGCGAATTGGCAACAGCAACATTCATCTCAGACCTTGCTGCGGAACAAAGCCTGATGCGACGTTGAAACGTGTGGTCAATCGTGTGGGTTTTTACAAATAAGTTTGGCGCCTGAAGGATGGCAGTGCATCTTGATCACTCACACCTGCAAGGCAAACTACAAGTCAGTTCGAGGTCACGTCCCACGGGCTGGCTGTGGTTCGGCGGTCAGCCAGAGCGCACGGCCGACCGGTGAGCCGGCGTTATCAACCGACGCCGCCGGCCCCTTCCGCGCGGCCGTAAAACACTTGGGGAGAATGCCACCTTGCTTGTACTTCTCACTTATTATTAAATCAGACACGTCCGATTAGAGCGGTAACACCAGTTTTGTTGGAACCCCTCTGCCTTGCTCACACTTTTGATTTGAAGTAGCCATTTCGGCCGGAGGAATGTCATTTGACTCTGCTCACCAGTATAAAAGTAATACTTTTCATTTGTCTTGATTTTTCCAACGTGTGCGTTAAGTAATGTTTGCAGCATACAAGTTAATCGAAATTTTGCATTATGACCGCTGGAAAGGCTGCGAACACATTATTTAGGGGAAGTGCATACAAATGTGAAGCCCTTGTCCCACGAGTGAAACGAAACGTCATACTATGGCTTTGATTTCTTCCCTACGGTGTTTAGCACTGTGTCACTTTTTGGAGCGCACTTTGGTTATTCATTCGATTCAGGAAATTTGAGGAAATATTTTACCTGGTCCACAGTAACGCACTGGCTCAAGCTTCAACCAATGCCCTTCCGTTTCAAATAATTCTTTTTTAATCTGTCACGGAAACCCTACTAAAATTAGCAGTTACAAAGGTGATAAGCTGGCGGGACTACATTTAGCTATGGTGGGAATTGCGGGACCACAACCCCGTTGAGTTATAGCGTTTAGGCCTGCACTAAACAGTGAATGTCACTGAGGGTGCTTCCCCTGAGACAATGGCAATAACCAGACGCTGCTAGAGCCAAGCACTGCACCGTCTGTCGCCCGGCAAGGGAATCAGTATACCCCTTGGTAATGACTTTGGCTTCGGCTAAATGCGATTCTTGGTAAACGGCCTAGGCCGCACGCTGTGCCGCTTAGAAATAATAAACATTTAGTTGCTCTGACGTTATCCATATCATGAGGGGTGCCACTTAAGGGCGTGTCCCACATTTGTATGGGGGTTTTGAGCCGAAACAGCCATCTTGAAGATCACTCGGTGCAGTGCACAGTCCTGCCCTTGCTAAGACACATACCCCTTTAGTTTCTGAGCTTCACGCCCCGGAAGATTTGCAAACTTTGTGGGCGAGTACTTCAAGGTCACGCAGGCATCCTTGACGTCATAATAACGTCATTTAAATTTTGCCGTTTCATTAGGCATGTGGCGATCAGGGCCAATACAAATATAATTGTCGAGTCCTTCATGTCTGGCGTTCGTGAGCACAATTTCCAGATATAACGGCCGTCAGTCGGCTCTCAATCAATGCTATGCAAGGCACTATGTCGACGTCAAACAATGATAAGCGGAGGGGTTTAATTATTAAACAGAGCAATCGCTTGTCTAGCGCAGCTCTGTCCACCTTAAAAGCATACCAAGAGTCATGGCAAGTTTATTCCATCATATCTGATGCTTGCTTAACACGCGTCCGGATGGCCGGCTAGATACCCTTCGCTCGAGTAGGGAGGGGGGCAATTTGACCCCTGAGATCTCGGGAACTAAGAAAGTTAGTGACACTAAATTTACAGGATGTGTTGATCTGTACGTAACCTCACTTAGATCAAAGTTTCAGCTTCCTAGGTCATGACCTTTGGGTCAGAAAAGGTCAAACAAGGTCAAGTTCCAGGTTGGGCTTCAAAGTGCCCCCTAGAACCTAGATAACCGTCTCTAAGCAAAAGGTCACATACTCATTCAAGGTCAGTGACCTTTTTTGACCTTTTGAAGGCCATGGTGACCAAAATTATGCAAGATTCCCTTGGGTTTGGCATTTGCCCAAGCGACAAAGATTACACTAGGCAGTATGTTCCTAAAACAAAATATTGACCTGGGTCATTTTAGGTCAATGACCTATTTTGACCTCTAAGAAGTCCATGGAAGATGCATAATGCGGTTCCTACGATCAATATATTCGAAATGAGCACCAGAAACTATCCCATACAGCAAGCCCTAAAGTAACAAAACGGGTTGGTTTTGACCTTGGTGTGACCTTTATACCTGACCTTAGGCCAATTTAGTTTCTTTATTCAACTGTAGTGTTGCCTAAGAAAGCATCTCAGAGATGTATGGTTTCGTCTAACGCTCCGTTGTTAGATCAGATAGAATGATTCCCTAGAATTTACCTTCGCTGAAACCGTGGCCTGACCTTGACCTACCATAGGTCAGTGCGCTTGCAAGTTACACCTACATTTTTGATGCCAAACGATCCGCTATTCAATTGTCTACAGCTATCAAAATTTGGCGCGGCTGCGCCGCGCCGTTCGGAAACCATTCCGGAAAAACCTTTGGGGGGTCAATTTGGCCCCCCACCTGAGCGCGTGTTAAACATTTTAAGATGTAGAGTATTTCATTTAAGGCCACAGGCGCACAATGTGTGGTTATAACAGCTCAAAAGTGGCACCTCCACTCCGTAAAAGCTGATGACCGCTCTTAGCCAGGGCGCAGCCAGAGCCTTGGCAATGGGGGGGGGGGGGGGGCGGGTACAGGGTTGACATAGAAACTCTGGCAGTGAAAGGGCCTTCCCCAAAAGGCGCCGGATATGACCATTTTCTTATTGAAGGCATGTTCACTATATATACATGTACGTTACACATGTTTACCCTCTGTAACTAGAATATAGTCTGAACGCTAGCGCAAGATAAATTTTGCATTAAGTTCGTAGTAAATGAACTGGCAAAATTACGTTTGCAATGAGTGCATGCGATAAATCACCGGCGCTCTCCATTTCCTAATGGTCAAGTGGATTCCTTTTAAACTGATAGAACTCAGAAACTTTGTCAGAATTTTTATCTTGGTTGTACAGAAATAGCAAGGATTCCGAGAATGTAGATTGAGGATCAAAATGTGTCAACAACTTGTATTAACATGGCCTGGCCATGTTTGTCTTGATATATTCAACATTCAGTCAGAATTGATACGTGGTGCAGATTATGTAACATAGTTTTGAGTATGCACGCTCACATATCTTTAAAAACAGGGACCTTGACGCCAGGCGTTGCAGTCTCCTCAGGCCGCGCAGCGTCGGTTTCCTAGCCGTGCAGCGGTTAATGCAGGTACGCGAACCACTACAGAAATAGCAAGGTTGGAAGAGGGTCCACCTGGGCCCCTCTTCTGGCCTCATCAAACACTTCCCTTCGTCGGCTCGGGGCCCTTGCGAGAACGTGGTCCGCTGTTAGACGCTGTGAGCTCCTAACAAACACAGGGCCCCCAATCAGTGTAAAACGCTGTCCCCGGCTTTATAGTTGATTGGGAAGTGGGTCCCCAGGCCCATACCGACACGGAGCCGACCATTTGGTACGGTGGTACCTGACCGAAATATAGACCCATATCAACTCACGGGGTCCCTGATCGGCGCAGAATGCCCTCTGACTGAGGGTCCGTGTTCGCAGGTCTGGGATCCTGAATAGGACTCCGACCAGCCCTTTATGTCCTTAGACCCTCCAAACGGACTCTTGATTGTCGGACCGGGTAGGCCCTCTGAGCTCTTTGGGCCTCCTCGAACACTGCCCCTGGCCGACTCAGAGCACCTTGACAGCACAGGACCCCTGTAGGCACTGTGGAGCCCCGAGCAATGTAAATCCACTGGCTCCGGCTTTGTCCCTGTTTAGGAAATGGGTCCTCAGGCCCATGCCGCCACGGAGCCGACTGCACGTTATTGATGGCGTTTGGCCGAAATATAAGCCTTTATTGACCCAGTGGACTCCTTATCAGCGCGCAGGGCCCTCTGGCCGGCATTTGATTTTCCGGCCCTGCGGGCCGGAGCCCCTGAATAAGACCACTGGTTGGCTTTTCGGGCCTGTCAGGACCTCAAATCGGGGCCCTAATCGTATCGTAAATCGGGCTCCCCCTAATCAAAGGGGGAGCACGTGCCCCTGTGCCCGCCCCCCGCCCGGGCTATTGTCCCCAGCAGATAGTCCTAGTACTAGACAAGTACCACTCCTAGAAGTGGATAGTAGTAGATAGTAGATAGATAGTAGTAGCATAGATAGTCCTAGCCCGTCGCGGACTAGGACTATATCCTGGGGGAACAAGAGGAAAAGTGCAGTGCTGTGCAGGGGCGGCGCCATGGATAATGGGGTTGGGCTGGATTTTCCAGGGGCCCACCTGAACAAAATGGGTTCACTCACGAGGTGGGGCTCCTGGGCAGTGTCGTTTTTAAGGGAGAGGGGCACCAAGGGCATGTGCCCTTTACCGAATTGTTACACGCCTCACATAGAACTAATATCTAGAATAGGAAACACCTGATTATCTAGAAAATTGTCTGATTTTCCTAAAATGGGCGTTCTGTTGAAGAAGAGGGCATCCTGATCCAAAAAGAACCATAATCCAGATAAGGGTGCTTTCGATTCACGAAGAGGGCCTCCAGATCTAGCCAAGGGGCCTCGTTATCCCAATACAGGACATCCAAATCTGGGGCCGCGGCCATCTGACGCTTGAAACGGGTACCCTCTTCAAAAACGGGGGTCAAAACTTATAAAGAGTACCCCCTTATCTAGAACGGGCGGACTCCCGGCTCAT